CTGGATCGATCCAGAGCTCCGTTATCCACTGCAGAGGCTTTCAGGAAAGCTTTGCCGGCTGCAGAAATTCCTGAACGCCTCTGACAGTGAAAAGGAGGCCAGGGCGACGCACGCAAGTGAGGTAAGTCAGTGGATGACATCCCCCAAAATAAGACCTGGAGCCTTTTTGGGTAGCCAAATATATAGATAGGGTCTTATTTTCGGGGAAACACGGTGTCAGGCCTCCAGCCATCTTTTTTTGTGGATCTTTGGCCTGCCACACTTTTTATTATTCTACTATGTATTTTCTATTATGGGAAAATGGGAGGAGAGAATTATATGGAGTTCGATGATATGTAGCCATAACAACATTCTTTCTAGAAAGCCGAGGTCATCCTTTGTCTCTGCACCTGGCCGGAACTGGATGGGTGGAAGCTGCCAGCATGGCAGTGGGAGATTGGACCATGGGGAGGACTTGTGGGTGTGGGGGGCAAGACCTTAAACTTTCAACCGGGTGGGGAAAACTGGGAAGCTTTCAGATTTGGGTTTTCCCAGATGTGCCAACATGGCTCTATTGATAAATTGGAACTTTGAGGAATTCTTTGCCTCGGACTTTGATTTACTTTTGGATGCTATTTGGAATCCTGACACATGGTAGTTTTTCCTTCATCCTTCCAGCATTTGCCCCAAGAACCTTTCCCAAAGATTTAGAAACCCAAATCTTAAGCAGGCGACTGGACAGATCCTTTCGACAAGCAGCGAAGGTGGCTCCTGGGCCCTTGACCACTTACCGTGACACCAGCACCATCAGATTGTTCTCTTGGTCCACATCATACCGTCGGACATAAACGTAATCCCGTGAATACATTGGGTACTGAAAAGGGATGGGGTGGAGGAAGAAGAAGTCTTAAGATTGGGTGGCTAGTGACAATGCCCCTGGCAAGCAGCAACGGGCAAAGGAAGGAGGCCTTACCGGAAAGTGAGTTACCCAGTGCACCACCTCTGAGCCCGTGTCTCGGTCTCTCTCAATCACTTCCAGTTTGATCACTAGGGAGTCCCACTTCTTCCGGTATTCCGTATCCAGCTAGAAGAGAAGCCACAAATTCTCAAGTCACCTACCTGTTCTGACCTAGGCTTCCCAAGATCATGAAGCCGACTCCTCATCCTGATCAAACCTCTTTTATTTAGGTTTTATTTAGGTTAAAGGGAATTCCTCTCCAGCAAAGTCCCAGCCAACAGTCTTTCCAGAGCGAATTTACAACCACAGACCTTTATAAGGCTTGGAGAGTTGCCAGGCCGATATCTTCTAAACAATACACTGTAGCAGCAATTACTTGGCAAGAAGTTAGGAACAGATCTTCACCCTAATGAATTGAACTAATTGNAGACCAAACGTCTTTCTGCCTCAGCACCGTGAAGCTGCCAAACGCCCAATTTTGGGAAAACGCCACTCGTGGGAAGCACTGCGGGGGCACCCCTGGGCTTGGGAAACGGATGGGAATCCATGCTTTTACACGGGTACTTGGGATCCCAGCAGCTGTGGAGAGCAAGGTGCACGAGAGGGCGTGTAGCACACTGGCCAATCGTAGGGCACCCTTGGGGGGTTTGATTGACATTCAGTCCATTTGTAAAAGAGGGGTCTCCAACTGGGCAGCTTTTAAGAGGCATGGACTTCTGACTCCCAGAATTCGCTGTCTGGGGAATTCTGGGAGTTGAAGTCCACGTGCCTTTAAAGCTGCCAAGCGTTGGGAGACCCCCACCTCGATATTCACACGTTTGAGCTTAGGGAGTAAAATCAACTTGAAACAAGGGTTCACAAACTGGAGTTTTCCTAGTTTTGCTTCCTGCCATCTCTTGGTTAACATGTCTGCGGGGTGCCAGGCTGGCAAAAGAGGCTCCAAACCCCTTTCGGCAAGGAACAGGCATTGTGGTTAACCACTTTCCTGCCCCAAATGCTCCGTCGCAGGCTGTTCTTCCCCCTCCCCCCAGCACCTCTATCTTACACCGAAGAGGCATAGGCGTTTGGGGACTCCTCACCTGTCCCATGGATACTTATGACGTGCATTCTAGCGCTCTGAATCCTCCAAGGGGGAAAAAATCCTACCCTCCCTTCCTTTCTTACACTGTCCACCAAGGAAGCTGGCTAGCTGACCTATCAATCAAGCAGGGTGCTCCAGCTCAAACCCGGCAAAGGGGGCACCTCGGACCAATGTGCACAAAGACGGGCGCATGTTGCTTTTAAACCGTTATGCCCCCAATTCAGAGACGGCACCTTTGGACTGCGGAGACAGGCGCTTTTTGTTGGCGTCACCAGATCAACAGATACCGTATTTTTCGGACTATAAGACACAACACGATTTGGAAGAGGTAAGTAAGAAAAAAAAGGTTTTGTCCTCCCAGGCCACCGGGAGCACTCTACAGGCTGGGGGAAAGCAAAGATGCTGTTTTTGAGAAAAACAGGTGGAAAACAGGCTATTTTTTGCCAAAACAGGGGCATTTTTGCCTTCCCCCGGCCTTGCTGAAGCCTGCAGTGTGCTCCTGGGGGCTGGGGGAAGGCAAAACCACCTCCGTTTTTGCAAAAAAAACCAGCCTGTTTTTCGCAAAAATAGGATGCAGGGGCGGGGATATTTCCATCCTCTTTTAGGGAGTGGGGGAGGTGCGTCTTATACTCCAAAAATACGGTAATCACATCTGAGGAAATAAGCCCCAAGGTGGCCAGTTGTAAAAGGGGAGAGATGTAAAGCGGCGGGGGGCGGGGGGCAACATGGCCTTTCCTTCATTCAGTGGACAGAGATGTCACGAGGGGGGGGGGACACAGCCAGGACCTTAGCACCAAGGGGCTCTCAACAGCTCCGCTGCTTATGTCCGGTGGCTAAAGAGGTGGCATTCAATTGTGCCTCGGCAGGGGGACAAAGGCACTTTGGCAGCGAAGCAGCCCCACTGTAAGCAGAACAGAAGATAGATAGATAGATAGATAGATAGATAGATAGATAGATAGATAGATAGATAGATAGGAGAGAGAGAGGTGGAGAGGGGCAGGCAGAGGAAGCCAAATAAGAGGCATTGAAGCCTCCATTAGGTTGCAGGAGCCAGCAATGAGGCTGTAAACGGTTGGGTGGCTTGTTGTGCACCAGGCTGCAGCCGCCTCGGGCGCGATTCATCTCTAGACAAACGGCTTGCGGGGAGCCTCAAGTACTGGGGGAGGAAGAAATGAGACCGTCCGAGAATGTAGCTTTTTCTCCACTACCCCCCCCCCCTGGCCGTCCACCACACCCACAGGGTTAAGAGCAAATAAGATCAAGACACAGAAGTGGCCGCACAAAACTGTTTTTCACGATGGCCGAGAGTGGTTGCCCAGGGCTGACGGTGTTCTTTCCTTCAAGGAGGAGACGTGGCAGAGAAGGGGGAGGAAGAGGACAGACGCAGGGCGAGGGGATCGAGGTCCCAATGACGTCCTTCTCCGTGGCTTTTTTCTTTTTCCTTTTTCACAGCCCGGAGCAAGAGGCATGGGGTTGCCAATGTTGCAAACCAAGCCCTCCCCCTCCTCCTTTTAAGCATAGTCTATCTGGATAGGGCTGTGGGCTCCTTCGTTCTTGTGGTCTTGGGCAGGCATGCCGGCCTTCTCTTCCCCGTTGCTGTTCTCGCCCCCGCTGTCCCGGGACTTGGAGGCGGCGATATAGTCTTTCAAAACGATCTCCATGTTCCTTGCCTTCAGCGCTGCCGAGTGAAGTTTCTCCAAGAAGTCCGGCATGCCTGTGATTGGGGAAAGGGGGGGTGGGGGACAATGAAAGGGGGGGGGGGGACAACAGGTGGGTGGAGAGGAAAGTATACCAGCTGGTCAAGAGGAATCCAACACCTACCTGCGGTCAGGGAAACTGATCTGCCCTCAAAAGCACTTAAGCATTCGGAGTTACTGTATTTTCCGGACTATAAGATGCACCAGTGTATAACACGCACCAAGATATTGAAGAGGTAAGTAAAGAAAAAATAGTTTTGTCCTCCCCGGCCCCCAGGAGCACTCTGCAGCCTTCAGCAGGGCTGGGGGATGGGAAAAATGCCCCCGTCTTTGTGAAAAACGGGAGGAAAATGGGCCATTTTTCACAAAAATGGGGGCATTTTTCCCTTCCCCTAGCCCTGCTGAAGCCTGCAGAGAGCTTCTGGGGGCTGGGGGNGGGGGGGGGGGAGAACTGATGGAGTAGCCCAGCAGCCAAGTTCAGAACCCATGAAAGTGCCTTGTTGGAGAATGTGATTTATGACATACTCAGGGAGGAGGGGGAAAACAAGGTCACAGTTGAGCCGTAAATCACTTGCTGCAGAGTTGATTTCACTCAGGTAGTTGCTGACATGTTGTTCCTAATAAATAACTGGATTTCGTTTGAAACTTGACTCGAGGCTCATGAGTTAATTAGGGCATCCGTGGGAATCCTGACAGCTTCAAGACGGGGTCCCCAACTCCCGGTCTGCAGCCCGCCAGTAACTGGGCTGTACAAGCGAGCAGAGCCCCGTACATGCATCTGCAGGATCAAGGCAGAATGCAAAACTATGTCTCCACCACCCCCGTTCCATGGAAAAAAACCCTTCCACAAAACCAGTCCCTGGGGTCCAAAAGGTTGAGGGACACTGCTTTAAGGCAATTCTTTCAGCCACAGTGATCCTTTCCAGAAAAGGGGGAAAGGTTAAGTACCAACCATGTTCCTGCAGAAGATGGCTGAATGATTCAGTTTTGTAAAGCAGCAAAGCTTCTAAACTTCACACACATATCCACTGCGCCACACACCCCACCTCCAAATAAAAAAAAGATACGTCTTCAAAAAGTCTTTTAAAGAGGGCCAGTGGATATGCGGGTTAAGCAAGCTTCCCAATAAATTAATTTCAAAGCTTAGGAAATATTAAAGTTTAATACTGAATTTGCAAAGACTCCAAGCACTGAAAGATATTTCTTCCGGCAGCATTAAGGGTGGAAAATGAGTCTTTTCAGGTTCTTTGGTCCCAAGCTGTTCAGGGTAAGAAAGAGAGCCAGAGGAATACTGGGAGCCATTGTTGGCAGTCAACTAATTAACAATGACCTCACACATTCCCTGTGACTGGTCCCAGTTTTAGCAGATCAGATTTCTACAGTTTTCACTCGCTGTGTTCACTTTATGGCACGCCCGGCTCCTCCTGAATTTTTAAATCCTGTGGGTATATGATTTGCTATAAGTTAGGGAGTCTGGCATCTGGCCAGATATTTAGCACTCCGGCTTTCATTGGCAGCCAGTTGAAAGCTAATCTGGAATTTATCTGAGAGAAATGGAGTTATTTAATGGAGTATTCCAACCTAGCCAACATTCTCTTTCTATCATTCATGACACAGAATCCTTTTGCAAAAGCCTATATACAATTGCATTTTAAATAAATATGCTTTTATTGTTCATGGTCTCCTATATTTTTTGTTTCTCACAATATCACACAACATAATTGGAGCAGCAGGTTGCCCCACACTACACAGCGGAATCTACAGAATCCAGTGCACTTCAAAACAGGTATGTGGTTAAAAAAAAAGATCCTGATGTCCATTTAAATATTTGAAAACATACAGTAATGAATGCTGTTTGCTTTAACTGGGGACTACAATCATGCTTTCTTCCATGGATTAGATAACTCCCATAATGCCCAATCTATTATTATAGGTAACGTAAAGGTTTCCCTTGCACATGTGTGCTAGTCGTTCCCAACTCTAGAGGGCAGTGCTCATCTCCGTTTCAAAGTTGAAGAGCCAGCACTGTCCGAAGATGTCTCCATGGTCATGTGGCCGGCATGACTCAATGCCAAAGGGACACAGAACTCTGTTACCTTCCCACCAAAGGTGGTTCCTATTCTTCTACTTGCATTTTTTACGTGCTTTCAAACTGTTAGGTTGGCAGAAGCTGGGATAAGTAGCTGAAGGTAAATCCGTTACACATCACTAGGGATTTGAACTGCCAAACTGTTGACCTTTCTGATCGACAAGCTTATCCACTGAGCCACCGCATCTGTAATCCATTATTATACTCACTAGGAATTGGGGAAACTTCAGAGCACTAGTTTGGAAAAAGCTACCTGGGTATATTTCTGATTCTCCAGCTTTCTTAAATATCCTTAAGATTGCCTGAAAGCTCATATTTTAGAAGTCATGGAGCGGGAAATAAAAGATATAAATGAACAGTGCAGTGAAACATCAGGTACACAGGCAGTCCTTGTTTAATGGGTGGTTGCTTAGCAACCCTTCAAAGTTACAACAGACACCCACCCACCCAAAAGGCACATGACCCAGTTCTGGACTTCCAACAGCAGTGACCCCTTTCTGTGGCCAAATAGCCTTATTTGGGTTGCTTGGCAAGTAGCTCGCCTTTACAATCACAATTTATGAGGTATTGTGGGGTGTTTGGTCAGAAACCAAACTTCAACCAGTTTTTGGCAAAGCACACCCACAGGAATGGACTGACTTGCTTAATGACTGCTGCAAAAGAGGTCATAAAAGCAGACTGGTTGGTTATATGGGCACCTCCCAACTTACGACCATCGTGACCTACAATGGCAATTCTAGGCTCCATTACAGGCAGTCTTGGATTTACAATAGTTCACCAAAATTACAACACTGAAAAAAGTGACCGATGACCATTTTTCACACTTACGACCATTGCAGAATCCCCGTGCTCACATAATCAAAATTTAGACGATTGACAACTGACTCATAATGATGACAGTCGCAGTGTCCCACATCACGGGATCTCCTTTTGGGGAGCTTCTGACAAGCGGTCAATTCACTTTACAACCGGGTTGTTAACTTAACTGTGGCAAGGAAGGTCATAAAATGGGGCAAAGCTGACTTAACAAATGTCTCACTTAGCAACGTAAATATTTGGCTCGGTTGCAGTCATAAGTCAAAGACTAACTGTAAAACTCCTCAGATGCTAATCAGGAAAGTCACAAGGATCGGAAACAACAGCTGGTGGGGGCTCATTGTCTCTCCTCCCCAGTCTGGCCTAAAATAGAGGTGATGCCTTCTCTCTCTTTTGAGAAAGAGTTCTAGAGAAGGGGTGGGCCAACCTTGGCAACTTAAGACTTGAACTCCCAACATGCACGAACCCAACAAACATAGACACTTTTGGGAATTTCACAATCCCAAAAGCAAAACTCTTTTGAGCACATCATTTTGGCACTGAAGATTGCAAAACCGGCTCTAACTTTTCCCACGCAATTCTGCACGATTAAAGACTAGATTTCTCCCTTCCTCCCATTGGACAGGTCGCATGGTCCAATTATGAACTGTCCTTTCGTTTTGAGAAGAGTTTATGTCGTGGCCGACACTTGCAGAAGTGTCCTTGGTGGGGACGTGGTTGAAGTCTGGAGCCTCCCCAATCCATCTTCCATTTCCCTCTCCCCAGTTGTTTGGCAAGTTGAGAAGCTATAATAGTCACAGGAAGCATGTACAAATTCAATCCTTTGACAATGCACTGGCAGGGGAATTCTGAGAGTTGAAGTCCACAAGTTTCCTGGCAGTTAGAACAATTAACCAGTGGAACAACTTGCCTCCCAAAGTTGTAAATTCTCCAGCACAGAAAGTTTTTAAGAGGAGACCAGACAACCATTTTTCTGACATGGTATAGGGCAGGGGTCGGCAATCCACGGCTCTGGAGCTGCATGTGGCTTTTTCATCCCTCTGCTGTGGGTCCCTGTCACCAGTCAGCACCACAATTTTAATAGGAGCTTCCGGGGAGTGGGGGAGAAAGCACAGCGCGCCAGGAGACTCTATGGTAGGGGAACCAGATTTCTGGTTGGCTCCAGAATTGAACAGGAGGCTTCCGGTTAGGACTTTTGTGGCTCCCGGTGCTTTCTTTTCTGTGGGAAACTGGTCCAAATGACTCTGAGTGTTTAAGGTTGCTGAGCCCTGGTATAGGGTTTCCTGCCTGAGCAGGGGGTTGGACTAGAAGACCTCCAAGGTCCCTTCCAACTCTGTTTTTCTATTCTATGTAATCTTCAAGTTGCCATGGTTCTACACCCCTGCTCTACAGGAACGATCAACTTGCCTGGTAATTACGGCACCAAAGAGAAACCTGGGTCAAGGCACCTGCTGGATGTGCGAGAGCTAACAGGAAATCCCTGCCTTCCAAGTGATAATCATGCCCTGGCCACTGAGGAATTAAAAAGGAAATTGGGTCAGGACGTGCCCTGCTACCAACACCGAAGGAGCCCCGTTCACCCCGAGACTTAGCAGAAAGGGGAGAAGACCTACCTCTTCAGCTCTTCTTCCTTGATCCTCTCCTCTTCCCACAGGAACACTCCGGTGAGGGCTGCCATCAGCTTGCAGGCGTTGGCATGATGACCCTGGAATCGGCGCCACAAGGAAGAGAAGAGATTCTTGCGCGCCCTCTCGGAGTAAATGTTACTGTACAGCTGAGCGATTTGCTGAGCACGCCTGATTCTCTGGCTAGTCACATAGCTGCACTGATTGGCCAGCAGGGATAGTAGGCTCTTCTGCCCCAGGTCTTGCTCAGAGCCTTTCCGAAGCCACGTAAGCAGCCACTGGTACTTGCCCTTCAGGAAGTCCTCGTTCCACCACCCATTCCGTGGTTTCCCTTCATAGGTGATGAAGCGGGATGAGTTCGCATAAAGGGAATAAAAGCTGGAGGGCGACCTCCATTGAAGTGGATGGAACATTCCTGCCACGCCTCACTGACCAGTCAATGCCCTAGACAAAAGAAAAAAAGAAAAGAACACACAATCACAACACAACTTCAGTCACAATGTTTGATATCACCACATTTAGGAGTCTCCTCTCTTGACTGGATAGACAGCATCACAATTAAAGGAAGCTTCGCTTTGGGTTTCAGGGAGGAACTTAGAGCAGCTTCTTCAACAACACATTCAGCAATCTAGCAGGTTTACAGACCACACATACATTGCAAAAACTCATTATAAAACGTCTTTGTTTTGGTCAGCCTATTTTTTCCTCTGTTTTTTAAACAAAAGGATATCTATCAATGCTGGTTTAGTAAACATGCCAAATAGAAAGCACAGCTAAAGGATTATTCTGTTATCCTGCTGCCTTATTCTTTGTTCTTTTGTTTAATGTTGCTATTGCTTTATTCTAAAATGATTTATTTCAGTCTCTTCCATAGAATAAAGATAAAGGTTCCCCTCACACATATGAGCTAGTCATTCCTGACTCTAGGGGGCGGTGCTCATCTCCGTTTCAAAGCCGAAGACTCAGCGCTGTCCGAAGACATTTCCATGGTCATGTGGCTGGCATGATTAAACACCAAAGGTGCATGTAACATTGTTACCTTCCCACCAAAGGTTGGGAGAAGCTGGGACAAGTAATGGGAGCTCACTTTGTTACGCGGCACTAGGGAGTTGAACCACTGACCTTTCTGATCGACAAGCTCAGCGTCTTAGCTACTGAGCCACCGCATCCCTGCTTCCATAGAACAGAACTACGTAAACACATGTAAAGACTGGCAGCTAGTTAACAGGTATTCCTGTATTTGTCAAGCGCAGAGATAAAATACCTGGATTCCTACATCCTGCTATAAATGGCTTACAAATACATGAGCATCATATGATATGACAGATCAAAAACAAACATAACATTGAAAGTGCAACGCATAGCATGAAACAACTCCTCGGAATCGCTATAAAAAATGCACAGATGAAGAGGAATGGCTGGAACTACAAAGAAAGTAAGGTCTTATGGAATTTAAAGTTATGTCTAGTGTTCCAACAAACCAGTGTATCCAAAGACAGATGTTTTCCTGCAACACAGTGAAATCAATCATGAGGACAAGGGAGAGGGAAAAAGTCAGCCACATCCCATTTTCTTCGCAAGCAGAACCCCTTGTCTCATTATTCAACCTTTCCAGCATGGAAACGTTCTCTATTGCAAGAAGAAGCAAAAGTAAGGAGCATGCTTCCTCTACTGCTATTCTCAGCATCCTATTATAGGTCTCAAAAGCAGATACAGTAATTGGTATTAGCAATAGGATCATCTTGCTCCATAGCAACCTAAAAATGACCCCAGGGCAGGAATGCTTATAGCATACCAGTAGTACAGTAGTTCAACCAAAAGGGGAGTAGCTGGTGCAAGGTTCTTCATTTGCAGTAGAGATTTCTGCAGCAGCTGCCAAGTAAGACAAATCCAAAAATTCTTCCAACTCTCAACAGTATCAAGTAACAGAGAAACAGGACGGAGGGGTAGCTGCGCTCCAGCTGTATCAAGGACACGTGCTCGTCAGCCTGCATGCTCTATCCACAGAGTGGGTTTGTGAAAAGGAGTAGTAAGATCTCATATAAGACCTCCCCAGATAATAAGTCCAACTGGGCTTTTGAGCGCATGCATTAAAATAAGCCCTGCCCTGAAAATATTGCAACACAGCAGCAGCCATGAGGTAACCACGCTTGCCACCTCCTGCATTTCAAAAATAATAAGATCTCCCCAAAAATAAGGCCAAGCACTTATTTCGGGGGTCAAAAGATAATAAGACCCTGTTTTATTTTCAAGAAAACATGGTGTGTGTGTGTGCGTGTGTGTATACATACACACACACACACACAAAGAGAGGCTCAGCCAAACTCATTGTACACATGTTGTACTCTGATAATAAAGGTTTGAATTGAATATAAAGAGAATACAAAAGTAAATATTAGGGAAATTAGGAAAAAGGGAAATGGATGGTGCAGAAAAGCAAGGGAAAAAGGAAAAAAAAGGATTGACTTCCAACTCCTTTTGTGCAGCAAAATAACATAAAATAGCATTAACATCTACCCTCATCTTTTTACTTTTACTTAACTAATAATAGAAACTAGCCATTTCTATAACAAATCTATCTAATAGGTAAAACCCAATATCAAAGTTTCATTTTTTTCTTTCCACCTCAAGCACAAAAGGAGTAGGAAGATCTCCCAGGCCTGGCTGCACTGGAATGCTGAGGTGTCAGATGCAAAATTTTGTCAATTACAAAATAGAGAAAATGCCACCCACTCTTTTTCAGATCTGTTGCAATAATAGATCAATACAATATTACTTCAATAATCTGGCCAAATCTCACCCCCGTTCTTTCTAAATCTATTATTCCTTACTGCCACATTCTGCCTCAATCTTTCCTAAGTGGGGTGTCCATAAACATAATGGATTAACTCTCATAATTCCTCATATAGCACGGCCAACAATAATATAGGTAGGAGACTGCAGAATTAAAAGTTCTGAATGGGAAATATGTCCTACACGCTTGTGTTTCTCCACCTTGTCAACTTTAAGATATGAGGACTTCAACTACTAGAATTCCCCATATCTTAAATGTTGCTGTAGTTGAAAAATACTGTCCTACACTATTACCTATCTTGTGACTCCACAGAGAACAAATCCCACACATGATTTTCACCATCAACAATCTCAGGATCTGGGATTTTTTTAAAAAAAAAACACCATACAGTAAGGGTGTAAAGATATGTTTAAAAGTCATGCAGGACGAATTTCAGATTAGAACGATTTCTACTAAGCTCTTAGAAGATAAGGAGAATTACAAAAAGGTGCCAAGCTTCTATTACTCTATGACTTTCAACAGCATGGTTACTCACAATATGTACAAATTAACTTGCACTATTATCCCTAGCAGTTTGCAGAAAAACATTTTAATTTTTAGCATGTGCCCAACTGCTTACATTAGAAGATAGCAAATTATGGATTTGAGTCAAAATACATCCATCTGAAAGCTGAAAGGTATTTTCCCTTCCCTTTGCACAAGACCTCAATCAGAAAACTACAGAAATACATAGATTACATTGTCACATGACTTTAAGTTAATTTAATGCTGTGTGCAATCTAGAGCAACAATTTCCCACTCTCCTAAAAATCACGAGATTGGCAAATACAGAAAGAGATACTGAAATGATTGAATATCTGCCATGCATCATTGGTGATCATTATAAAGCAGACTCCATTGCTTATGTGCTCCTGAATTATTGTTTTCTCACAATTTCTAGAGTCAGTTTGGTTTAGTGGTAAAAGTGCTGGCTTAGAAAAAAGGAGACTTGAGAGTTTTAGGCCTTCCTTAGGCATGAAAACTGGCTGAGTGACTTTAAAGGGCCAATCGCACTTTATCAGCCCACCTCGCACATAGTTGTCATTGTGGGAAGAATAGAAGGCAAGGGTGTTAGATATGGTTGCCATTGTGACTTGTACATATAACAAAAAGGCAGGATAAAAACATAATAACAAAAAGATCTGCAAACAGAAGAAGTGTGGCAAAAGAAAGCCAAAATAGGCACATTGGGTGCAATTCCAAAACATCTGGGGCACCATCAGAAGATTGCAAAAGGCAGCTTTGCTTAGAAATAGCTTACGTTATGTGACACTATTATTATGAAATAACCACATCTGCCTATTCCAGGTCCTTGGGAAGGACTCAATAGGCAGACAAAAATGCCAAATCCTCTTGCTGAGCGTTTATACTGAACCCACCATAAATAACAATTTAATTCCGTGGCTCAGTTCTTTCTCCTAGGCCCACCTTCAAATTACATTAAGCTACAACAATGAATATACATGCCATAATAGTAGGGTTAGAAATTAAAATCTAAAAGCCCCCGATCTGTTCCCCTTCCAGCCTTTTAGCCAGATTAGGTTGAGAAGGGAAATCTTTTATACCAATACTTCAGTTTGTCCCATTCATAATAAATCCACACCTAGGGAGGAATCTACGTATCTGAATCTTTTCCAGACTGCACATGACCTCAGGGCCACATCCTAATGTTCACATCCAACACATAACTCTGGATCAAAGCCCAGAACAGCAGCATCTCAATCTGCACATCTAAACATCAAAGCCCACTTGTCCTTCTATACACCTCAATTAGCAAACCCCTCACAATCGTGACCCGACAAATGCGCGAACGACAAAAGCGCGCCGACAAAACTGCGGCGCTAAAACCGCGATGTCAAAAGCGCGCCGACAGAAGCGCGCCGACAGAAGCGATTTAAGTTAAGGTTTAGGGTTACAGCGCGCTTCTCTTGGCGCGCTGTTGCGGGCGCGCTTCAGCGCTCATTCGTCGGTGCGCTTTTGTCGTTCGCACATTTGTGGGTGAACCCCTCACAATACCTTCAATCGCTGTAGGTGGCCGAATGAATGAATAAACTACAGGTAGACCTCAATTTAAGACCAAAATTTCTGTTGCCAAGTGAGAAATTTGTTAACTGGGTTTTTGCCTACAAAACCTACAAAAAAATGGCCACAGTTGGGGCAACTTCAGGGCTGACAGTTTTCTCCCATTTTAACAATTTTTCTTGCCACTTTTGTTAAGCAAATCACTGCAGTTGTTAAATCACAGTTAACACAGTTAAGTGAATCCAGTTTCCATGTTTGCTTGTGAGAAGGTCGCAAAAGGAGAGTCAGACGACCCCAGGACACTGCAACGGTCATAAATGCAATTCAGTTGACACGCATCCCAATGTACATCACAGATGATGATTTAAAGGTGTATAGTATCCAACACCAGAAGCAAGGGATGGAAATTGATAATGGAGAGAAGCCACTTAGAACTAAGGAGGAATTTCCTGACAGTGGGAACAATTAACCAGTGAAACTCCTTGACACCAGAAGTCGTGGATTCCCCCTCCTGGACACTTTTAAGAAGAGACTGCACACCTACTTGTCTGAGATGATACAGGATCTCCTGCTGGAGCAGGGGGAAGACCTCCAAAGTCCCTTCCAGCTTCTATTCTACTCTATACCCAGATCCCTTAGCAATCCAGCCTGTTCCCCTGAATGTTCCATGCATTGAGCGTGCCGTCCTTTGATTCCCTTTGCACGTCCACCTCCATGTCTCAAGATGCCCAATACAGTAGAACAGAACAGAATAGAATAAATAGAATAGAGAATAGAAGAGAATAGAGAGTAGAATAGAAATTTTTTATTGGCCAAGTATAATTGGACAGAAGGAAATTGTCTTTGGTGCAGATGCTCTCAGTGTACATAAACAGAAGATACATTCATCAAGAATCATAAGGTACAACACTTAATGATAGTCATAGGGTGCAAATAAGCAATCAGGAAACAACCAATATCAATAATAAGGATGCAAGCCACAAAGTGAGAGTCCTGCAGTCACAAGTGGGAGGAGATGGGTGATAGGAACAATGAGAAGACCAATAGTAATAATGCAGCCTTAATGAATGGTTTGACAGTGGGGAGGGAATTATTTGTTCAGCAGAGTGATGGCTTTGGGAAAAAACTGTCCTTGTGTCTAGTTGTCTTGGTGTGCAGTGCTCTACAGCATCGTTTAGACGATAGGGAGTTGAAACAATTTATGTCCAGGATGTGAGGGGTCTGTAGATACTTTCAGTCCCCTTTTTGACTCATGGAGCGTACAGGTCTTGGATGGAAGGCAGATTGGTAGCCATTGGTTTTTCTGCAGTTCTGATCATCCTCTGAAGTCTGGGTCTGCCTTGTTGGGTTGCAGAACCCAATTAAGTACATTAACGAAGCACAATACCGTATCTTTTATTTCTATTGAGCTAAGATATATATAGTGGCTGGATTAAAACCGCTCAGTGGTTTTCTACAGCTAAAAGTGGACTTGAATCTGGGTCACCCTACCGAACTGAAAGAAAAAAAAATTCGTGCAGTCTAGGGCCGTGATGGCGAACCTTTTCAGCACCAAGTGCCCAAACCAGAACGTGTCTATGTGCATGCATGTACCTGTGCTGGAGGGCCGGAAACCCAAAGACATACACATGCAGGCCAGGAAACCTGAAGACCAGGTGGCCAGTGTGTATATGCCTGTTTTTTGGCCATTTTGGGGGCTGTTTTCAGACCATTTTCTGGGTGGTTTTTACACTGCTTTCAGGACAGTTTTCTTAGCCAATTTTTGGGCCATTTTCCGCCAGAAGAACAGCTGGTGATGCCGTGCGTGCCCACAGAGAGGGCTCTACGTGCCACCTCTGACACACCTGCCATAGGTTCACTATTACAGGTCTAGGGTTTCCTGCTTGAGCAGGGGGCTGGACTAGAAGACCTCCAAGGTTCTGCTCTATATACAAGTCCAGGGTCTTTTATATGGATCACTCAGCGATCCAGCCTGTTCCCCTGAAACTTCCTCTTCATTTTAGGATGTCGCCCTTTGATTCGGTCTCAAGATGCCCAAGACCCCCAATCCCCTCCCCCTCAACACCCCCAAATTTTTGGACGCTTTACGGGGCTTCCTGATAAGGCCTGTCGTCCCTTCTCTACCCCCCAATACCCTCTTGACCCCACAGCACCGAAGAAGCCGGCCGAGGCTGCAGCCACGACGCCTCTTCAAGGCCCTCAAAAGCCCCGCAGGCTCCCTCTCCGCCTTCCCGCTCTTTTTCCACAGCATTCACTACGCCTGTGCCAAATGGCCACCTCCCGGGGGGCAACCCCTCAAGCCCCTTCAACTACAATCCCCAGAGGCTTTTTAGGGAAGGGGCCGTTGAGGGTCTCACCTGACGAAGCCTCTCCCCGCGAACCCTCCAGCCGGTGGCGCAGCCCGAGCGGAGGGTTTGGAGGCGGGGGGGAGGGGCGAAGACGGGCGGCCCGGCTCGGGGCGGCGCCTTCTCCTCGCTTTCCCCTCCTGGCTTGAGGAGAAGCCCTCAAGAAAGCGGCCTCCACTGGCCTAGGCCGCGCCCCGCGCCCCCAGCTGCGCACCTATTGGCCGGCGCTTCGGCATCCCCGCCTTCCGATTGGAGGGAAGAGACGTCCGTCTTCTTCTCCCCGCCTCTCCCTGCGACCTCACGGCCGGCGTGCTGACTTTCCTCCGAACTGCATGTCCACCGAGCCTTGGAGCTCCGCCTTGTGACCCACTCAAGGGCGCCTTGGAGACAGGAGGACCCCAGCCCCTCCCGAAGGGGGGCTGTCCATGGATGGCGCCTGCATGAAAAGTCAGTCGCTTCTAACGCCTCGTGTAGGGGCCTTCCGGTCAGCTTGGGACGATGGGAGATGCAGTCCAAGCCCGCCCAAGGGCAGATAGGTTAGATTCTCCCCCTAGAGAAAAAAAAAAAAGTGGGGGATCCTTTTGGGGAGTTACCATTTGGGAATCAGGCGTTGCTGGGCCCGAGTGCGGCCAAAGTACCACAATTCCCAGCCTCTGGACCAGAGGTCTTCAAACTTGGCAACTTTAAGACTGGTGGATTTAAAGTCCACCAGTCTTAAAGTTGCCAAGTTTGAAGACCTCTGAACTAAGTGGAGAGATTGCAGAGGAAGGGATTGCAAGAGAGTAAGTTATGCTGGCTGGAGGATTCTGGGAGTTGAAGTCCACCAGTCTTAAAGTTGCCAAATTTGAAGACCTCTGAACTAAGTGGAGAGATTGCAGAGGAAGGGATTACAAGAGAGTAAATTATGATGGCTGGAGAATTCTGGGAGTTGAAGACCACAAGTCTTCAAGTTGTCAAGTTTGGGGACCCCCTCCTCTGGATGCTATTGGGGATCTCTGGGAGCTGTAGTTAGGGTTACTATGTAATAGTATTATGATAGCTGGAAACGAATCCAGCTCACACTGGCCAAAAAATAAGTTTGGGGAGGGGGCGGATAAATGGATCCTTTATATGTATACCTTTAAAAGGAGAAGGTATGTAAAATTAGCAATATGGAAAATATTTTCTGGAATATAATTATTAATGCCACTAGTATTAAATGGAGCTTGCTCAGACAATGAAATACACCATGCAAATTAGAGAGCGGAAGGGAGGGAAAGAGAAGGAGAGAGGAAAGGTGTGAAAAGAGGGGAGAGGGGGGGAGAGCAAGGAGAATTAGAGAAGAGAGAGGGCAGAGGGAAGAAAGGAGATAGGGAGGAGGAGAGAGGGAGAGGAGAAAGGTTGAAGATAAACAGACTATAATATGGTGTATGGAAAGCAGAAGAGCAAATAAAAGTTGATGTGGCTTGATGGCAAGAGGAATTGATATATTATTGAATATTTGTTTGCTAAAATGTAACGGTATACTTTGCATTATATGTATGTTAAAAAATAAAAAAAACTTTTTTTAAAAGAGCAC